TAGTACTATTGACAATAGGCCATTCTGCCAAATCAGTGCCTTCTCCTTCCCTAGGACATGGAGGTATCTGTTTAATACATTTTGTTCTAGCTGCAGTTTAAACATACATCATGAAATAAAAACGACCTAGAACCCTGAAAATAATAAATAAATAATATAATATAATATAATATAATATAATATAATATAATAATAAACTCTCAAACACTACACTTCACCATGAAATAAAATGATCCTTCAGAAGTGTAATATTTTGCATTACTGTGTGACTCTATTTCCTATTTAGACATAAAATATTTTTTTTTCATTGGAGATTCATAAGATCTTAGTTAAATAATTGTATTAGTATTGCCAGGTTTTGACTTACTCCTCTTACCCTGACACATTCCCCCCTCTCTGAAAGAAATTTTGGGACATTTCTCCAGTCACATGACCAAAAAGAAGTAACATCAGAGCTTCTGAAGGCAAAGAAGAAACAAAATACCTTCTCTCACTCTGTTGTCTGTATGTTTGATCATACTGTAAGTATGACCAATCTCAACGTTCGATTCAGCTAAATTATTTCTTACATGTTATTATGTTTTTTACGGAGCCCCTAAAGGGACAAAAAAAAAAAAATGAACGTTCTAGTGAGCACTAGATAGTTTTCTCACTAATCTGCCACTAAAGTATCTTGTGCCACTAGATAGTATCGCCACTAGATATATCAAATATGATTTGCTAATTTAAATAGTTAAAATTAGCCATGTGTTAATAGTCACAAGACGAAAAAACCAATGAAATTACTTATTTGACACACATTTTAAGCCAATACGTATTAAACTAACAAGGTAATGTGCAAAAGGTGGACTGTTTTGTTATTTTCTCAAAGGAGGACAGGCATTTAAATGCGGACTGTAATAAAAGTTACAGATTAATTTACATTTATTTTTACTTACAGACAAATTAGTTTAATACTCATTTGAATATTAAAATTAGCCATGTGTTGATTCACCACAATATGGATAGTATCTAGTGCGCACTAGATAGTAGTAAGTATTGGCTTAAAATGTGTGCAAAATAAGTAATTCATTGGTTACATTTTCGTGTGACCTATTAACACATGGCTAATTTTAATATTTAAATGAGCCATGTGCTGATTCGCCACAAGACTCCATCCATAGGATCAGTGCGCACTAGATCCGTATCTAGTGCGCACTAGATCCGTATCTAGTGACACTAATACCATCTAGTGCCACTAGAAACGTTTTTTTTTTTTTTTTTTTCATGTCCCTTTAGGGGCTCCGTATGTTTTAAAGATAGTTCTGATAAACCACCCAAAGTTCTACTGACTGTAGCTATTAGCATTGATGCTATGTGGCTACATTTCATGTATTTGCTTATATATGCTAAAAACTCAGTCCTGTTACTTTAAGTCCTGTTAGGAAAAATGGAAATCTTCCATTTAGAAACCTTGTAGAAAAGAAATGGCCAGAGATGAACAATTACACAGTTTGAATAGTTAAACAACGTGTGTGTTATTAGATACAGTGCTGAAAAAAGAAGAAAAAGTTTAGTTTGGAAAAGTTACAACATGGAAATGACAGGGATTCAGGTAAATGGCCTAAACAGAAGAAACAATAAGATAAGATAAGAAAAGATAGACTTTATTAATCCCACTGGGGAAATTTGCTCAAGATACAACACAATAGATAAGAAAATACACTGTAAAAAACAATAAAACAAAAATAACTATACGTTTTTACCATCAAAAGAAAACGCTTTGCAATATGAAAATACCATATAAATGCTATGACAGTGGTTTTCTGTGCAATTTACAGTCTGTAATATAAAAAACGAGTTTATTCCATATAAATTCCTTTAAAATGCAATATAAACATCACAGTTTTACTGTTACAGAAACTTTAACCTATTAATCTTTTACTGTCATGGTTTGAAAGTTTTTCTTTTTTTTCATTACATTTCTTAAAGTGTTCACATTAAATAAAAAACTAAATAGAAAACTACAATATACAATAGAAATATAAAAATAAGTTATGTGTACACTATGCTCAAGCTGATAATATATAATCTTGCTGAATATTTATGAGCACCAGGGTACACCAATATGACATGACACCCTTTATAGTTTCACATACAGTATGCCCCCCCTTCGGAGAAGCAGGACGACCAGCATAGAAGCTATGTACTGCTGCGGAGAGCGGCAGACCCATAAAAAATAAGTCTTAGTTCTATCTGGAGTATTTTCACAGCTTTACCTTGCTGTCAGACAGCCTTTTTCAATAGGGAACTAAAGCTATTGTGCCCTCTTCAAAGCCACCAGACTTCTTTGACAAAAACAGTGATTTTACATCCCAAAACAATTGCTTAGCTTTCTGTCTACTTCTCCAAACTGGGGGCATGCCAAACGCTATCTACTGTAGTCTATATACTGACTACATATAGGCTACAGTAGGATACCTCATACAAATACACGACCATACAAAAGAATTTGTAACGTGCTGCGTGCAACAACAGGAAATTCATATAATATGTATTTGTAAAAAGAATGTTTGATTTTTTCATATATCTATTGTATTAAAAGGAACCATGGCCAAAGTCTTAAAGCTGCAAAAAACGTGTTTTTTTATATGAACGGATCAATTGGCTCAAATGACTTTGTGTTATGTGAATGGGTTTGCTTATAATGACAGACCCACACACAATTATCACCCAATGTTTGCCATAACACCTATAAAATTGTGTCACATGTTGAGTTTTCGGCTTGTTCTGTTCCTACCTCACCACCATTAAATATAAAATTTTGCCTCTTTCTGGCGGCCTCTGTGGACAAAAACGGTAGTGTTTCTAAAGCTGAAAGTTAATTTCAAGGGGAATCTGACCGAATCCGACCAGGTGGCAGACATTATTATGTATGTATTTATGATTATACACTAATGAAAATATACCTATGAATATTATATTCCATTTCTGACAGTAGATCCTCCTTAAAGTTACACACTGGACCTTTAAGTTGAGACTGTTTCTATAAAAAAGTCATAAATTTGACTGTTCATTTTATTTTTATAAATATCACCATTTCTTTCTTTTTCTGGTAGAAATGTGTTTCCATAAATATAAGGTAAAGATACACAGCCTCATTTTGTTTTACAGCTCAATAAACCTCACACATAAGTTGTAAAAACATCAGCAGCATTAAGTGACATAAAAAAGGCGACCCTACCTTTAACACATTTTGTAGGTATGTGTGTATATGGAAATAGCTGCTATTTTTGGGTCAATCATTATAGTCGATTGCTGAGGAGGTGGGGTTTGAGGGAGTGACATCTTGGACATGACTGGATTATCTGCCTGTCCCCAATCCTATCTGCAGCCATGACAAAGAGTCAGAGAGTCAGAGCGCTGATGGTCGGCCAGAGGCTTGTTAACCTTCCAGCTCCACTGTGGGATTAAGGTAAAAGGAGATTGGAGTGCAGGCACCCTGATGAGAGGCATATGGGAGAAAGGTTTTACTAACTCCATCTAGTCAGGCTACTGTGGATAGCAGCAGACGAGCCTCCAGTATGAGGTTACGGGACATTAAGATGATGGAAATGATTGTGATTGAGCCAAACAGCGTGTATTATTTTAACATCAATGAGTCACTAATCCACATATTAATACTGAGTCTTTACAAATACTGTAGATCAAACAAACAAGAGCATTGTTGGTCTCAGTGAGTCTCAAGTTTACTAGTATTAGACTATATAGTATACTATTATATTGTAAAATACTAAAAAAGATACCCCTGAAACATTTAGTGGCATTTAGCCACTAGTTGCAACCAACTGTAACCCCTCAGCTAAACTGAATGCAACAGAGAAACTATGGTGGCCTGAAAAACATGAAAGGCCAGTCCATTCTGGGCTACTGTAGAAACATGGCGGAAGAGGACCCACTCCCTCTAAAGCTATGGCCAGAGTCACCAAAACTTTATAGGATGATCCCCAAGGAAAATGTTATAAATATTTTTCACATAATTCATATTTATATGAATATACATATTTAGACAGTAGGATATTTAGGCAGTGCACTGATCAGTCACCAGCAGCAGGGATCAGCGGGGAACCCGGTGGTGTCCTCTCTGATTTCCCAGCAGGTAGCTGGCCTCCAGAATGCCCACTTGGTTAGAGAACTGGAAGCTGCTGCTGTGAGTGAAAAATCACAGTCAGGAACACACACAAGAACTGGTTAGCAGCCAGGAAAACTGTAATAGTATGAAGAACACATCAGCATATGCAGAAAAGTTTACTTTTTTTATGCAACCAGAACAGTGGGATCTGCGTTTGTATTTATCACAGTCACTGTAACATCCATCATCTATCTGGTTTAAGGGGTTGGGGGTTTAAAAACAAAAATCAATATAGTGTTTTTGAGAATTGATATAATATCATAAAACAAAATATCACTATACAGTATTTTCCAATATATTCTCACACCCCTAGATCAGAGTCAGAAACACTTTTATTGTATGTACACACACAAAAAGAATTTGCTCTCAATGTACATACACAGAATAAGGATAAATAAACAGGACAAGCTCAACAAAATAAACATAAACTACTATGCACAGTTATACATATATAAACAAAGTAAAATGATAACATTTGTAGACAGTAGACAACAGTGCAATGGTGGAGAGTGCAAAGGATGCTGAAATAAATATTTACATGCAGGTTTGTTTATGTACATGAGGTAGGTGGATATGACAGTATATACAGTATGAACAGTGTTTGTAAGATTGTATTTATCTTTTAAAAAAGAAACTGAATTTCAACAATGAAAAAATGAATAATAAATGGTTTACAGGTAAAGTGGATGTCATACGGTTAAATAAGGTGAAGGAATTCTTCCAAGCAAGTGGATAGCGTACGGACTGTTTTTCTTTATTGGACCTTGAATGCAGCAGCACTGATCCACAGGAGTCAAATGTGTGTCCCGGTGTGTCCCCACCGCGCGCGCGCACACACACACACACACACACACACACACACACACACACACACACACACACACACACACACGGGGTGTTCCGAGAGGTCGAGGTGATCCTGCTGCCTGTACGGACAGTAGCAGCTGTCAGGACTGCGGTGCGGGCGGCTGAAGAAGAGACATTTTTTTTTTGTCAAAAACAGACGGGTTAAGGTCAGTCAGCAGGAAAAAAGCCCACGTGTCGGTCAGATTAGAATCGGGCCGACAGAGCGTCCCGTTACCGGCCAGCAGTGTCCGTCTCATTGATTTGAAGGGGAATGAGTGCTGACACATCCACGCAGTCAGCGAAGGCACGCGGCTCTCAGCGCGAGGAGGAGGCCAGTTGAAGATCGGCACAGTGATGCGTTTCAGGGACGGCGACACTTTTTGGTTCCCGCTGTGAAAGTTGTCGGCGGCAGTGTGGGGGCTGAACACCTGGACCACGGTTGGATAATATGTCTCTGCTGAAGCAGCGGGGGAGAGAGCTCGAGCGCTTCGACGGACTGTCGCTCATTTACTGGTACGTCAAAGTTTGGGGCGCTCGATCTGAAAGAAAGCGGGAACAATACAAAGCTCCATTACAATGTTGTTTTTGTGTTTCCTTAAACATGGCTGAAGACTTTCCTTCGCGATACGGTTCCCCTGATAAATTCGGCGCAATTCCTTTAATCGAATTTGGCTCACTTGTTCGCACACAACGGATGTGCGTAGTGCGGCAAACAGCGGGCTAATCACAAAGTTGGCGTCTCTTAAAATGAAGTTTAGTTTTTCCAGGCAGGTGGACGATGTATAAAATAACTTTTCGAAAACGGTCTTATTTAAATAGAATTCCTTTTCACCAGATAAGGAATGTGCTGTGTGTGAGGACACATGTCAAACTAAATGAGAGGTTACTTGGGGAGGGCTTGTCCAACTGTTATAACACAGGCCACACACATATTTAAAAATGTAATATTGTGATGTTATTGCTTCATCTAATTTGACATTAATTTAGAATTTTATTTTCAAAATAACCATGCAAGATAAACAGCTTTAGATATTTAAAATTTAAAGGACCAAATCTTTACTGTGACTGTAAAAACTTTTTGATGAAGCACGTGCATAATAGACCTTTTTCCACTTTGACATGAATTAGTAGGGTAAAAAGGGTGTTACCAATGATACTAATTAAGGTTCCGTTCCATTTAGTGTAGCAAGGCTTTTCCAGTGAGCCAACGTGCACAATAGTGCACCCTGACTCTGTTTGACCTGGATGGAACAGAACCTCACAGCTACAGAAGGTAAAATTGATTTAAAAAATTGCCAAATTAATTAAATTTGCCATATTTGCTGAAACTTTCACTATATCCTGACAGTAGAACACGAGACAGATAATCTTTCCGCTGGCTTCTCCTAGTGCTCCTAATGGTATTTGCAAGAATCCAACGGGCCTGAACAAAAACAACCAATCAGAGCCAAGAAATATATTTGATCGTTGAGTCTCATTTCCAGGTCATCGAATACAGACGCTTTGGCACCCTGGGAATGAGACTAAACAATCAACTATCTTCAAGCCTCCAACCCAAAGTCTTTCTATCTTTCTAAGTTCTGATTGGTTGTTTTTGTTCGGGCCCAGTGGATTCTTGAAAATGCCATTAGGAGCACTAGCACAACCTCTGTCTCAAGTATTACTGTCAGGATATAGTGAAAGTTTCAGCAAATATGACAGTTATTTTTTATAAAAGTTACCTACTGCAGCTTTAAGTAGTATGATTGGGAACACTGTGTTTACCCTGCTATTTCATGTCAAAATGGCTGCTGTGAATAAGGCTTATTAATACATCATGTGTGGTATTTAAAGAGTGGGATGTAACATTTTTACCTTTCAGTGGCATTTTTAAATTCCATAATTAAGCAACGTAATGCAGTGCCATTAACTGAGTGGTTAGTCTATTGATATGCCATATGGGATTACATACACCATGTTCAGAACCTAATAGGAAACACAATTAGCATCTATAAAACTGATAGACCATTCACTTCTCTCCCAAATAAAAACAGATAAAGATGAAATGTGAAAGATCCCATGGGAAAGTAGGGCAGTTTGGAGAGGGCAAATTCATTTTGTTCTGTCCTGGGGGGAGGAGTCTGTCAGCGAAATGTAGGTGCTGAGTGGACTGTTGGGGCTGGCTCAGTCGGGGAGTGCTTAAAGGCAAGCTGAAGGGATCGGGAACATACTGCTGGGTGCCCCCCTCACTGGATCACACACGTCTTTTGCTCTCCATCAAACAGAACCACTCCTAAAGTTTCCCTCATGATTCTCTCCTCCCAGAAGTTACCCGAGCTCTGGGACTACTTTCTGATTTACGTCTCAGGAGCCCTAGAGTTTAATCCTGACAGTCGGGACGTAGACCTGGGACTGTTTCCACTCAGGATGAACCCCACCGTTAAGACCAGGTAGGTGGGACACAGGGAGGGTCAGGAGTAGTGGTGTGGAGGGATGCTTAATAATCTGCAGAGAAACTGCTGCCTTAAATGGAGAGAGGTCAGTTTGTGTGCTTGAAATAAAGCTGCAGTTACACATGAAATTGATATATCGCACTGGTGGGAGTTCAGTGTCACAGAGAACAGGAGATTGAGTCATACCTAGAATGATTGTTGATTAAATTCTACATTTTGGAGATTGAGCCCGCTTTAAATTTGTGCTGTTTTGCATGTGGTTTGTATGTAGAAATCTCAATAAAAAGATTGGTAGACTCATTTTACATTCATATAGAAAATACATTGCAACAAAATCAGTACTTAAAATGGGTTGATTTATGATTTACCTTAAACACAATCTTTATACACATACAGTACTTTGATAATGCTTAACTACTTTACCCAGTAACAAGTTTACTAATAGAATTTCAAAAGAATATTACAGTTACCCATTTACAGGTAAGTAAAAAAAACTAGTGACAGCCTTACTTTTGTCGACACGAATAATGAAATATTATGGCAATCACAATATGGCCAAGTGCAATGTACATATTGAAAAATCTGCAAAACAGATCAGCTTCCATGTGATTTGCACTGTTTACACTTTCATAAAAAAAAAACGATCCATGTCACACATGAGCAAAAAAAAAACCAGATTTGGGCCACTTGTGCCTGCAGTGTGAACGCAGCCTGTGATCCTCTTTCCCTTCTGCGATTACACGTTGCTACTTTGTTCATGAAGATGACACCACTCTATACAGCATATAGACTAATATAGTACAGAATTAAGTATTTAAAGTACATAGTTTAGAGAACATTATGAGTCCAAGAGTGAAAATTACAATTACAAACCCTGTCTGCTACTTAAGCACCACGGACAGTGCCATGGGTTTATGAGTACACAGCACACTAATGCTGCATTCACATGGAACCAGGCAGACGGGAGACAGGAAACCACAGGTCATGTGAGTGGATGGGAGCAGAAAATTAGGTGAGGTCGGCAGAGAATACCGGCAACGGTAACGGCAGAAAGCATTGCCATTCAAAGTTGAATATTTAAACTTTTGTGAGTTCATGAGAACAGAGAATAAATCGGACATCAAACAGTATGTCCCTATTCATTTCCCAACTTCCCTTCAGGTGACAATCATTTTTTCTTGAAATGATGCAGAGTAAAAGTTATAAATCTTTGACGTGTATAATTAACACAACATCTGCTATTTACTTTAAATGATCTACCTTTACAGTATAATTAAAAGGTTTAAATGTACCATCCACCTCCTCCTTGCCTCACGGTCAGCCACGCTTGCTTAAAGAGGGGTGTGGCTCTACTGCAGTCCACTTTAGATGATGTGGAACACTGTGATTGGGTTTTAGTCATCCATTCAAATATGTTTGTGCATGTAGGTGGAGTCAGATGACAGTAACTATAGATCTAGACGAAGTTATGGCCATCAGAAAGGACTGGGGTTCTGAACGGGTTATGTTAGTGTATATAAATATATAGTATTACAGCATAAGAATGAAATCAGTTATCTGAAGTATTATAAAACAGCTATGAGTCTGTCACTGGACAACTCTCTGGTATTATGTTGAACTCTATCAACACTATAATGCCATATAGGCTGCAGTTGACAGTGTACAGGAAAGGGTGCTTATAGGCATTAAGATTATGTGTATCATTCCTCTTAATGAGCATGCTTTAATTTAATTCCAGTTGTCCTCATTTATGCTTCTTCAGTTTCATTCTGAGCAGAGATACATGGAGCATGAATCACACACACTGCTGCTGCCAGTATGGATCACACAGAATGTGAAGACAGTGAGACAGATGGTGCACCGCACAGTGTGAACGCTGTCCTTTTCTTTTTCTGTCTCTGTCTTGTCTTTTATATTTTGCTTCTGGCGCTGGATGCTGGGGCTAGACAGGACCACCAGGCCAATATTTGCCTTTTTGTTAAACTCAAATGTCAGTCGCGCTCCCCTTTGATATGATGTGTATGTGGTTCCCACAGTGCGTTTGTATTATTTTTTACATCATGTAAAGTTCTTGGGGGCAGATCTAGATAGGTGGCATGAAAAAATGCCTGGCACCCCAGCTGCCACCACAGTTTGGTGTCAAATGCTGTCAAATGTAACACAATTTGGATCAATTTTAAAATCACAGAAATGAACCTGCCATTTACTGATCAACATTTTAGAATCAGTGATAGGCTTAAGTTTAATAAAAAAACAACAGTGTATTGATTTCTAATGCCACCTTTTAGACATTTCCATTCAGTGCTTTATTAATGTGCAACAATAATGTTTGTGAGTTCAAATATCTTTATTTGGGGATAAAGCAGATATTGATATATGTGATTGTTTGTGATTAAATCAGCAGACCACCCCTTAAAGTCTTTGTGATTTACCCCATGAATATGTCTCTAGATCCACCCCTGAAGGTTTGTTGTGGGAGCGTTTTCCTCAGCAGTGAGCGTGAGCTGAAATTTAGCTCACCCTGTCTCAGATTGCAGAAGAGTTTTCTGGAACAGACCCAGAGGCAGAGGGTGGGTAATTTGAGCTTCATTGGTACCTGACAGGGGGATAGATAGTGGGCATGGAGAACTGTAGAATAGCGGGTGTTAAAGGAGGATGGATTGAATAGTCATTGGAGGCACTGGTGGGGAGGACTCATGGTGAGCAGATGATCTTTGGCTGTTGACCCCTGGCTGAAACCCGGGAAGGTGGTGGATAAGAAAGTAGAAGTGACAGTAAGTGTGACAGGAATCTGGAGACAAAAGCTAGAAGCAGTTTACAGGCTGGTTATTAGAAACTGAGCAGAAAAGTCAGGAAAACTCTGCTGGGAAAATCCCATTGGGGGGGGGCTGCTGGGGTTCACTCAGTCAGGAAGTTCTGGAGCTGTATGGAGGAGAGGGTGAATAAAACTTCAAAATTACCTCGTCCCTGAACGATTTCTACCTGAGATTAGTCAGATATATTTCCATCAGCAATGGTGGTTGTTTAACAATGAACACAACTCCCATGATCCAACAGTACTTCATGACGTCATCAAACTATGTATTTAGTTATTATTTTGATGTGAGAGGCTATTGGACTAGAACAGTGACATTAAAAATAAAACAAAACCTGAACTGAAAAAGTAAACACTGGCATTAAAACACTGGAACATAATGGAAAAAGTTGGCCCACTGAAAAATAAAACACCAACATTAGCATCTGATCACACACACATTTAGCACACAGCAGTGGCTCCCAGAGTTCACCTCAAACTCCCAAACTGCAAGTGTGTTTCTCTCTGCTGTTGCTTTTTCACATAGAACCAGGCTGGGTTAAAGTTAACTTTTACCTGAGTTTATGCTGGCAGAGTTCTAATGTTAGCTATCACATTAGCTACATAAGACGCCCATAAGAGTGGCAGATAGATACATACGGCTTTAGTAACAAGCTGAATTTTAGTGTACTGAAACAAATGGAAACTAATGGCTACCTGCAGATAGTGAATGATTTAGATCAAAACCACTACATCATTTTAGGCAGTTATTTGTTTTTTTCACAGATTATCTGTCTCGTGTACTTCTGTCAGGATATAGTGAAAGTTTCTGCAAATATGACAAAAAGTTTTTTTTATAAAATGAACTACTGCAGCTTTAACATGTTTTCATGTATATGGTTTTGTATTCTTTGTTGGTATAATTTTTGGGGAATGAAAATATTCCTCCTAATGTTTTAGATCAGCTTTTCTTGAAACCTTACAGTTCGCACACTGCTTATTTGGCTTGGTGTCCTTGACTTGATTTTCATTGTGAAAGTGACCACAGGCTGTGACGGTGGCGGTGGCAGGTGTGACTGGATGGTATTTGACAGGTTATTTACTCGACCCCTGTCCTGTGGAATTCAGACCTCTGGTGGCAACAAACATCACTTTGACAGTGTGACAGAGGGAAACAACATGCTCTCATTAAGTCACCTGGCCTTAGCATCTTTCCCCTCCTCATCTGGGACACATTGTTATGATCCACATATGTCCTTGTTTCATTTCCTGTTCGTTCAGGGTCACGATTGCATGGATGTAAATTCAGACTACAGCCTGGCAGTCCAAAACGTCCCATTTTATTTACTTCTCTCATCACTGCTGCTTTTAATTTCAACACCTAAAGTGAACAGACACATTCTTAAGAGGCTGTTGAAACTCACAAAAGCAGTAGAAAAGACAGGTTGAGGGTCAGTTACAGCTCTTCAGAACAGAGAAACTACCCTTCTATCCTAACCTGATAGCATGCATTTTTTAACATTGAGGCCAGGGATTGTATTCACAAAACAACCTACGGCTAAAAGTAGCTCCTACAGCTTCCAGTCCTGGTTACGCCTCTCCCAATTCAGATCCTCCTATTCTCCGTCAGACTGGATTAGGATCACTGGCAAACTGTTAGCTTCAGGTCTCTATAGACTCTCAGTGGGGTTCATGCTTGGGCTTTGGCTGGGGCCACACTCGTACACTAAGGGTCCTGTCCTAAAACCGCTTGAAAAACAGTTTAAGTGCAGCGTGATCGTCTATATTTACAACAGTGGGTCTGCCTCAGAGTCCCCTGGGCTTCATGGCTTGGTTCATGCTGTGTTAACTCCTGATAATACAAGTGAATTGTTTCACTTAATTCACCCAGCTTGACATCCCGTTCATGTTGACAGAGGATACACTTTTTGTTTTGCTCTCACCAGTCAGTACTGAGTGATATTTACAGTTCACACCCAATATTCAGTAGCAATTTTTTATAATTATCAAAGAAATATGCTGACTTAAAGGTCTAGTGTGTAATATTTTATAATATTTATTTATTTTTATTTTAGAATATTCATAGGTATGTTTTCATTAGTGTATAATCACTATAATATAGGAATCATTGTGTTTTCATTACCTTAGAATGAGCTGTTTATCTATAGACGCTGCGGGTCGCGTTCCCAGTCTGAACAAACCA